AGTGGGTCACATTAAATCATTTGTTATGCCAAACTATGAAAAAAAAAAGACACTTACAAAAATAAACCTAAGTAACTCTGCCAGAGTGTGTCTTTTGGGTCACTTTGCCGGTCCCAAGCCCGGATAAAGGAGGAGGGTTGGTTGTAGAACTAGCAATTTCACCCTACATAACAATCTTTTGATTACATTTGCTGTTATAACATTTAACAATACAGGACAAAACTGATGTGTGTAATGTGGATCTAGACAAAGCATTAAAATCATTAAATGTTGTTAATGTTGAAATTATTTTTGTACATTTGTAGTTCTAAACATATTTAGGGTGTTTTTACTCACTTTTGTCTCTCCCACGACCTTATTCCTCTCTCCTACAGCGTCCGTTACAGTTATTTGCAAATGGCAAATTATGCAAATTAGGCGATGACGTCATTTAGCGACTTCTAGCGACTTTTGGGACAGCCAATAGCTACTTTCCTTACTGAGGAGTTGGCAACACTGCATGACAATAACATTACAATACTCCCTCTGTTGGTCGTGGGCCAAGTGTAAATGTAAGCGTGTGTGTGTGTAGATTACTGTTCCAATTATCTCCAGTTGTTTCTCCCGGGTCGTCCTCAATTCGTATTGTGGGCTGTGATGCCAAAGTAGAGGCTCGTTTCCTCTCATGATCCATACTACTGTGTTTTCCCTGAAGCAGGTGTAGCTTATCTTTTATCTGAAAAAGAAACATTAGAACACAAAAATGCCCACTTCCCTGGCTTTTAGCGGCCTGTCAATCATTCCAATTGGGCAAACATAACTGCATTGACAGACGGTCGTGTGACATCAGGGCAGAGGCTGTAGCCAAATACAGACTTAACAAAATGTGTGTTTCCAATTTTATACTCCACTACATGTGAGTTACAAACCAAAGTTGTCCTCCAACCAATGACCGTTCACTGCGGCTGGACTGAGTCACTGTCAGGACGAGCAGCAGAGGGAGGGACTCCCCGTACTTTCCACAAAGTACTTTCAGCAGAGTACTCATCTCAGAGTACTTTTCAGCAGAGTACTTTCAGCAGAGTACTCATCTCAGAGTACTTTTCAGCAGAGTACTCTCACTTTTACACCTGTTCATTAAAGCTTGTTATCTTTGAATCTCTAGTACTTAAACCGTATGCTGTTGACAAATAATTAACAAATAATTATTCAATGATCATATTAAAACGTTAAAGAAAACATTTGTTATTCCATTCTTCGTTCACCACTCCACTCACTCTTCACTCACAACACACTCACTGGCCACACACCGACTCCTCACGTTAGTATTTTGGTCCAGAGTTTGTTAAGGTCAGCGTAGTGTATTTGACATGACGCACAAACATATAACACACACAAACATATAACATACACAAACATATAACACACACAAACATATAACACACACAAACATATAGACAACACAGAAGGCCTGTAATTTAACTTTGTTATATTTTTCCATGTCCAATTACAATTGTCTCATGAGTTATTTTATTGTTGCAACTTTCAGAGCCTGCAGAACATGCAAAGCTTTAAGAGATTTTTCCCTAAAAGGATCCATTTCAAACTTTAATGTTTAAGCCACGTGGTCTTTACTCGGACTTCTCACAGACTGTGTCCCCTATAGTTTAATGAGCTCTTGTTGTTACTTTCAGACTCGTGCACGTGCTATAAATGTTTTCCCTTTTTCAGTAAAGCCAGTTCGGATTCATTAAAACTGTAAATTAATTTCAAACTTTGATACTTCATCTTTGTTTCACGTTCATGTGGAGAAAAGACTATTATTGTACGTGTACTAACGTACTTGCACCAATCATGTCTCAGATAAACTGCCAACAGTTATATCAAAGACATAATTGTCCTAATTGTTTCTAATTTATCTATTTGGAAGAGAAACATGTCATAAAAGATTTCATAAAATGTTTTTACATCTGTGTTTTCAACCAGTGGACCGTGGTGCGTTAATGTGTTATCAGAAATGATCCAATATCACCTTTAGCCAAGATTTAGAAATACTCTATATTATTTTTCAGACTTTTTTGATTGTTTATACAAACCACTTTTGTATTAAATGCAACGTCCATTAAAGGCTGCAGCTCTTTTTCCTAGCACCAGTTTCAACTGTGCATGTGATTGTTTTAAATGAGAAACGAGCCACGGCTCAAAGGTTGAGGAACACTGCTCTAAATATCCGTATTAACAAGATCATGCAGTTCAAACCAATAATTCTAAACTTCTCCGCGTCTATAACTTTAAATAATAATAATAGTTTTAATAATAAAACTCATCTAAATCATGCACAAATATACTGCTATTCTAATCTTCTTGTGTCTCATTCTAAAGTAAGAGTCTAATAATTTTGACGATTGGCTTGTAATCATTCATGCAGTTAAATGTAGTGTTATGAACGTATGACCTAAATGTGTAAATATGACCTAAATGTCTTATATGTCTCGGTGCGTTGTTGTTTGTCTGTGTATACTACCTTCTGTCTGTTTCATTTAGCCCGGCCACGTCCTCCTCAAATGTCTGTTAATGTCTCTTTCTTTTTTCTCATGTTGTCTTCCAATGTCTTTGTCTCAATGTCTTTTTTTCTTCTTTCAATCACTTTCTTTTTTCTTCCGATAACTTTCTTTCTCATAATGTCTTTTCTTCTTCTTTCAATCACTTTCTTCTTTCTTCCAATAACTTTCTTTCTCATATCTGACGCACACAAATGTGTCGTCTCTTTCGCTCGGTTCACACACCGTTCCTCTTCGTGCACATAACTTCACTCAGTTTGTGCAAAAGTCTGTGGCCTTTTCTTTGCCGCAATAATGCTTCCATGGAAATGGAGGCCGGAGAAGTCTTCTTCGAAAGTTCTTGTTAGCTGCTGCAGCCGATACTGCTGTTGTTGGTGCCCCCTGTGGGTCGGGGGAGACGCTGATGGTCCGTTTTGGTAGAGCTCAGTTGTGGTTTTTGGCAGGGACGATTTTGGCAATCGGCCAATGAAACAGACAGAAGTTTTCTCAGAAAAAACAGACAAACAAGAAACATAAACAAGTGTGTTAATACAATACAAAACCAATGATTAATTACAAATCTAAATAAACCTATGAAATAATTAATATTAACATTTTAAACATTAAATTCTGAAAACCAAATCTGCATTCAACTGCTATCCTAAGCCCTATTTTTTCAAAAGTATAATGCTCTCTAAGATCATTTTAAATTTTATATCACCAAAATGTTGGGAAAAAATGTTTAATAACTTGTCTAGACGCCTTGGAAATGGCCAAAAAATAAAAATAATGCCTCTTTATAATCTAACTCAAAGTTCTGTGATCATATGACTTTGACTGTATGAATGTAATTTTCTACAAAAAATATATTTGGTATGCCTCTTTCTTAACGGAGAGAGGGAGAAGAGCAGAGGGGAGGGGCTGTGTGGCTTCTCAAACAGAGGAGAACATGTACGACTGAAATACACCAAATTCATGAACATCCCCTTTAAAATTTGCTACATTTTCCTGTTTTTTTTCTCCCCGTGACAATGTTTTAATCAGTGGTGAGAGTTTTCTCACGTCAAACGACACTTTACACTTATCATTAAATACGTCAGTAATGGAAAACATTACAATTTGCTTACATGAATAATGTATTACTAGTTACAGCAGGATCAATCTCTTTCCTAGTAAGTGTATTCCTCTTTTTTCATAATAGTAGTACCTCTGTAACTATTAAAACATTACATCACAATACAAGAGAACTCCCAGAACTGATCCTTTTGTCATTTCTCCACATGAAACTCGTATCTACAGCCAAGTGGCTCTCTGATCCTGATTAATCAGATCATTATTATTCAATAGTCAGAATCCAACAGTTTAAATACTTGGCTTTTTTGTTTAAATTAAATGTACCTTTTTTCCCGCCCCCCGGGGATATGGAAGGTTTTATTATCCTGTAACTTCTGACCCTATAGCTGTCCCTATTTCTAATTTTCACTAAACACTTGTGCCTCTCTGCACTTTTAAAACGGTGTGCCTCTTCTGCACTTCTAAAATGGTGTGCCTCTTTTGCACTTCTAAAACTCTTGTGGACTTTCTTTTCTCTTTTTTTTTTAGAGGGGACCCAATCTTCCCTCAAGGCTAAAACGTCAAAACCTGACTATTGTTTTATCGCGTCCGATAAAACGCCCGTCACGGCGGGTCTGTCCACACCTGCAGTCATGCTGGGCTGAGACCTCTCTCTCTTCTATTAAAAAACGATGTGCAGATTCTCAAAAATATGATCTGCTTACCTTTTTTGCAGAGCAGAGAGTCTCCAGACCCACAGACCCAGTCTCTCTATCTGAGCTCATCTTGCGTCTTCTTTCTGTATAAAATCACGTCGGGGTCACCATTTGTTGTCAAAAAAGATTTGACTGACGTGTTCAAAGTTTGATACAGAAATCAGATCAAGAATACAAGAGTTTAAATAGAACATTTATTTCTCTTTATAATTAAATGTTGATACAAAACTCTTGGAGCTATTAATTCTCCCTAAAATCTTTCCCTGTGCTCAGACTCTGACTGAGACTAAAATGTCCTCCCAGCAGTTTTATCAGAATGTCCGATGACGTCATATGGTCTGAGTCTGGTCTGGTCTGGTCTGGTCTTGGGAGGCGCCTTCGGCCTTGGGATTAGTGCCCCCACCCCTGCGGCGCCTGTGTGAGACTAAACAAACACAGCTGCTGCGGGGGGCTGGGGGAGTTCCATAGGTCAAGCAAAAGCCTATAAGTAATAATGTGTAGAAGAGGCGTGTGCATCAGCCAGTTCATGGACTTTGGACTCCTCCGTCTCGCTTCCTGGCTCCGTATCTCCCCCATTCCAAACCCTCAGCGGCGCCTTCCTGTTTGCTATCCTCGTCCTTGGGGGCTGGGGGAGTTACAACATTCTTCGTCTGCGTGTGCAGCATTTTGGAAATATACATCAACGGTTACCATCGTGACCACCATGAACACCATGACCACGGTTACCATCGTGACCACCATGAACACCATGACCACGGTTACCATCGTGACCACCATGAACACCATGACCACGGTTACCATCGTGACCACCATGAACACCATGACCACGGTTACCATCGTGACCACCATGAACACCATGACCACGGTTACCATCGTGACCACCATGAACACCATGACCACTGTTACCATCGTGACCACCATGAACACCATGACCACGGTTACCATCGTGACCACCATGAACACCATGACCACGGTTACCATCGTGACCACCATGAACACCATGACCACGGTTACCATCGTGACCACCATGAACACCATGACCACGGTTACCATCGTGACCACTATGAACACCATGACCACGGTTACCATCGTGACCACTATGAACACCATGACCACGGTTACCATCGTGACCACTATGAACACCATAACCACGTCACCATCGTGACCACCATGAACACCATGAACACGTCACCATCGTGACCACCATGAACACCATGAACACCGTTACCATCATGAACACCATGAACACAATGAACACGTTACCATCGTGACCACCATGAACACAATGAACACGTTACCATCGTGACCACCATGAACACCATGACCAGGATTACCATTGTGACCACCATGAACACAATGAACACCCTTACCATCGTGACCACAATGAACACCGTTACCATTGTGACCACCATGAACAGCATGACCACGGTTACCATCGTTACCACCATAAACACCATGACCATAATCAATCAATCAATCAAATTTTATTTATAAAGCGCTTTTCATACAAAAAGTGTAACACAAAGTGCTTTACAGTTTAGTTAAAAACAATCCAACATGCCCAGCCCTAAACCCTCCTCCCCACAGACCCCCCCAAAACCACATTTATAATTATATATACAACCACATGCGTATACACACACACACACACACACAGACACACACATACAAGTATAAAGTCATATCAGGTAAAATAGGTAAAACAATAAAAAGAAATGGGGCTGGGAGCAGATGTAACCGGCTGAAGAAGCGCCATCCAAGGAGCCATCTGCACCAGGAGCAGAGAGCCGGCTGCAGCCACAGGGAACGACACAGGACCCAGAGGAGAGAGGGGCCCCAGACCCCACCAGGCCCAGGACTCAGACCCCATAGGACCCAGAGGAGAGAGGAGGCCCCAGACCCCACCAGGCCCAGGACTCAGACCCCATAGGACCCAGAGGAGAGAGGGGCCCCAGACCCCACCAGGCCCAGGACTCAGACCCCATAGGACCCAGAGGAGAGAGGAGGCCCCAGACCCCCACCGGATCCAAGAGCCAGACCCCCGAAGCCACAGCAGACCCCAGCTCTCAGTGCAGAGGGCTCCTCCAGAGGAAACACTGGGGACACTAAAACAATACAATAATACAATAGAAAGTAGAACAATAAAATGTGACAATAAAAAGAAAAATGGCAGCTGCCTAATATTGATAATAACAATAGTAAATGGGTAGATACAATAAATAATTAAAAATAGTAAATGATAAAAATAAATAAAAATAGTAAATGATAAAAATAAATAAAAATAGAATGTGTCTAAAAACATAAATAGATGTACTAAAAAGCAATAATAAATAATAAATACTAATCAAAAGCTACTCTAAAAAGGTGTGTCTTGAGCCTACTCTTAAAAATATGAATGTTCTCTGCGGCCCTGAGCTCCTCCTCAGACTGTTCCAGAGACGGGGGCCGTAGTGCTGGAAAGATGCCTCGCCGTGAGTGTGTGTCCTGACTTTGGGGATGGTTAGGAGTCTGCTGCCGGAGGAGCGCAGGGGCCGGGAAGGCTCATAGGATAAAAGCAAATCTGAAAGATAAGAAGGCCCAAGACCATTAAGACATTTAAAAACCATTAAAAGAACCTTAAAATCGATCCTGAAACACACTGGGAGCCAATGCAGCGATTTTAAAACCGGTGTAATGTGGTCCCGCCCCCTGGTCTTAGTCAGGACACGTGCGGCCGAGTTTTGAAGTAATTGTAAACCTGAAATGTTCTTTTTGGGAAGACCAGAGAGCAGGGCATTACAGTAGTCAATGCGACTGGTGATAAAAGCATCAGCGTCTCCGTGTTGCCCCGAGAGAGAATGGGGCGGACTCTGGCGATGTTCTTTAAATGATAAAAACCTATTTTTGTGATGTTCTTGATGTGAGGAATAAAAGTCAGCTCCGAGTCAAAGATTACGCCCAGGTTTTTCACTTGTGATGATGGATTAAAAGAGTGTGATTGGAGTTTTGATAAAAGTTTCTCTCTCTGGGCCTCAGGACCGATGACTAAAACCTCAGTTTTGTCCTGGTTGAGCTGGAGAAAGTTTTCTGCCATCCAGGATTTCAGGTCTAAAATGCAGTTAAAAAGAGCATCCATTGGCCTGGTGTCGTCAGGAGACATGGAGATGTACAGCTGTGTATCATCAGAGACATGGAGATGTACAGCTGTGTATCATCAGAGACATGGAGATGTACAGCTGTGTATCATCAGGAGACATGGAGATGTACAGCTGTGTATCATCAGGAGACATGGAGATGTACAGCTGTGTATCATCAGGAGACATGGAGATGTACAGCTGTGTATCATCTGCATAGCTGTGGAAGATAATTCCATGTCTCCTGATGACACCGCCAAGAGGGAGCATGTACAGGTTAAAAAGGACTGGACCTAAAATGGAACCCTGGGGCACACCACATGTGATTTTATGGACCTGAGAGGAGCAGGTATCCAAACTCACCATGAAGGATCTGTCCGTTAAATAAGAAGTGAACCATTTGTGGACAGCACCAGAGAGGCCGAGGTGTTGTAGGCGTGATAAAAGAATGGCGTGGTCTACTGTGTCGAAGGCAGCGCTAAGATCCAGTAGAACCAACACGGTCACCTTTTTAGAATCATAATTTAGTCTAAAATCATTTAAAATCTTTAAAAGAGCAGTCTCTGTGCTGTGGTTCGCCCTAAATCCTGATTGAAATTTCTCTAAAATTTCTGATCTAAAAAGGCATTGAGCTGGGTAAAAACAAGTTTTTCTAAAATTTTGCTTAAAAATGGTAAGGTCTGTAGTTGTTAAAATCATTAAAATCCAAATTGCTCTTCTTCAGAAGGGGTCTCACCACAGCCGCTTTGAAGGCTGCAGGAAAGACCCCAGTCTGAAGAGAGCAATTCATCAGGTTTAAAAGCTCCTCTCTAAAAGATTCATAAAATGACTTAAAAAATGGAGTGGGGACTGGATCTAAAAGACATGTGGTGGGCCTCACTGAGGAGAAAACTTTATCAAGCATCTCAGCATCAACCAGGACAAAACTGTCCAGTGTTTCCTCTGGCGAAGACAAACAATCAGATGTGTTAAAAACAGTAGTGTGGTTGGATAAAATGTTACATCTGTTTGTATTTATCTTCCCCATGAAGTGGACTGCAAAATCCTCACAGAGGGAGTCTGTGGGGGTTAAAAGAGACATGCTAAAATCAGGGTTTAAAATGGTGTCGATGGTTGAAAAGAGGATTTTTGGATTATTTCTGTTCTGGCTGATTAGCTTTGCAAAGTAATTGTTCCTGTTTTTCCTGATTGTGTTGTTGTAAATTTGCCGTTGGTTTTTATATATTTCGTGATTGATTGTCGTTTTATTTTTCCTCCACCTTCGCTCTGCCATTCTGCATTCTCTTTTCATACTCCTTGCTTCCTCATTTTTCCAAGGGGCTATAGATTTTTGTTGAATGCTTACAATTTTTAATGGAGCAACCTGATCCAGTGTAGTTCTTAGTCTACTGTTAAACTCATTTGCCATAAAATCACAGGGGGCAGGTACTGACGACACCACCTTGGTGGGCCTCATCTCCAAGGGGGATGAGTCGGCCTACAGGAGGGAGATCGAGCGGCTGCGTAACTGGTGCAGCAACAACAACTTGGAGCTGAATGCTCTGAAGACAGTGGAGATGGTGGTGGACTTTAGGAGGGACCCAACCCCGCCTCCTCCTGTCATGCTGGGTGGCACTCAGGTGGAATCTGTACAGTCCTGCAAGTTCCTGGGGATAATTATCTCCAGAGACCTCAAGTGGGAATCCAACATCACAGCCCTCCTGAGAAAAGCCCAGCAGAGGATGTACTTCCTTCGTCAGCTGCGGAAATACAGACTGTCGAGGGCCATGATGACCCAGTTTTACTCGGCCATCATAGAGTCTATCCTCACTCACTCCATCATCACCTGGTTCCCCGCTGCAGCTGCGAAAGACTTGGTCAAGCTGCAGCGGGTGATACGCTCTGCGGAGAGGGTGATTGGCCATCCCCTGCCCTCCCGTAAGTCCCTGCACGACTCCAGGGCACTGAGGAGGGCGAGAAAGATCATGGCTGACCCCTCCCACCCTGGTCACAGCCTCCTCACCCTGCTCCCCTCTGGGAGGAGGGTGTCAAGGAGGAGCCAAGTCAAGAACAGATGACACACCCGCACTCAGGCCATAAGTAATGACCAGGTCGAGGGTATGCCCTCTGTTGTGCGTCGGCTGTGTGACATGTTGAGTAAAATCCATGTAGTTTAAAATACTTACAAACTCGCAGGTAAAATGGTCTGATGGGTTGTCAAAGTGGATGTTAAAATCACCGGTTAAAACAATCCTATTATAGGAATTGTATAAAAAAAGATAAAAACTCTGAAAATTCATTGATAACCATAACCACCGTGACCACCATAACCACCGTGACCACCATTACCATCGTGCCCACCGTGACCACCTTAACCACCGTGACTCCCATAACCACCGTGACCACCATAACCACCGTGACCACCATTACCATCGTGCCCACCGTGACCACCATAACCACCGTGACCCCCATAACCACGGTGACCACCGTGACCGTGAAGCCCACCCCAGATTAAAGGAGGCAGACGGAGCAGAGTAATCCTGTCCATGCTGAGAGTGGATCAGAGGAGGTAGAGTCCAATCACTCCAAAACACTGAAGCCGGATTTCAAACCTTCTGTCCACGCCCCCCTGCCCCTTCTGTCCACGTCCCCCTGCCCCTTCTGTCCACGTCCCCCTGCCCCTTCTGTCCACGTCCCCCTGCCCCTTCTGTCCACGCCCCCCTGCTCCTTCTGTCCACGTCCCCCTGCCCCTTTTGTCCACGTCCCCCTGCCCCTTCTGTCCACGTCCCCCTGCCCCTTCTGTCCACGTCCCCCTGCCCCTTCTCTCCACGTCCACGTCCCCCTGCTCCTTCTGTCCACGTCCCCCTGCCCCTTCTGTCCACGTCCCCCTGCTCCTTCTGTCCACGTCCCCCTGCTCCTTCTGTCCACGTCCCCCTGCTCCCTTCTGTCCACGTCCCCCTGCCCCTTCTGTCCACGTCCCCCTGCCCCTTCTGTCCACGTCCCCCTGCCCCTTCTGTCCACGCCCCCCCCTGCTCCTTCTGTCCATGTCCCCCTGCCCCTTCTGTGCCCCCTTGCCCCTTCTGTCCACGTGCCCCCTGTCCACGTCCCCCTGCCCCCTTGCCCCTTCTGTCCACGTCCCCCTGCCCCTTCTGTCCACGTCCCCTGCCCCTTGTTCACGTCCCCCTGCCTATACAAAGTCATTGTCCCCCGAAGGGTACAACAAAATGCACGGGCCCTCTCCCTGACTCTGGACCAAGCGGGTGTTCTGGGCACTGGCAACCACCATGATGGCCGCCATCTTGTGTCCAGGGGGTTCAAAAAATTGCTCTATAGTAGAGTGTATGTGTAGAAAAATTGTATGCGCTACGTTTCGACAGCTTCTTGTGTCTTCTTCAGGCGAGTTCTACACTGACTGGAGGCACTCTGTTCGGTGTCCTCTTTTATATGGTGTACAGGCTCCGCCCCCCCCCACTCTTGTTGTGTAACCAATGAACTAATTTAGTTTCCAATTTATGTCTTCCTGTGACTGGTTAAGTTTAGGGCTGTTCCCCTCTATGGTTAAGGTTAGGGCCAGGAGCTAGGCTAGACTTTAGCTCTACTCTACTATGGCCACAATCTTGACAGTAGTCCAAGTGCGCATTTTGGCTGCTTGTTTCCTGCACAACATGAAGATCAATTGCGACTTGCATATTGTCTCCACGTTTACAAGATTGTATACTAGAATTGAACAAATTTAGTTTCAATTGGGTTCTTCCCTGATGCTAATGCTAGTGCCTTGAGTTAAGGTCATGGTGTCCAGAGACTGGGCGAGGCACTGGCCAGTAATTAGTATACAAAGTCATTGTCCCCCGAAGGGTACAACAAAATGCACGGGCCCTCTCCCTGACTCTGGACCAAGCGGGTGTTCTGGGCACTGGCAACCACCATGATGGCCGCCATCTTGTGTCCAGGGGGTTCAAAAAATTGCTCTATAGTAGAGTGTATGTGTAGAAAAATTGTATGCGCTACGTTTCGACAGCTTCTTGTGTCTTCTTCAGGCGAGTTCTACACTGACTGGAGGCACTCTGTTCGGTGTCCTCTTTTATATGGTGTACAGGCTCCGCCCCCCCACTCTTGTTGTGTAACCAATGAACTAATTTAGTTTCCAATTTATGTCTTCCTGTGACTGGTTAAGTTTAGGGCTGTTCCCCTCTATGGTTAAGGTTAGGGCCAGGAGCTAGGCTAGACTTTAGCTCTACTCTACTATGGCCACAATCTTGACAGTAGTCCAAGTGCGCATTTTGGCTGCTTGTTTCCTGCACAACATGAAGATCAATTGCGACTTGCATATTGTCTCCACGTTTACAAGATTGTATACTAGAATTGAACAAATTTAGTTTCAATTGGGTTCTTCCCTGATGCTAATGCTAGTGCCTTGAGTTAAGGTCATGGTGTCCAGAGACTGGGCGAGGCACTGGCCAGTAATTAGTATACAAAGTCATTGTCCCCCGAAGGGTACAACAAAATGCACGGGCCCTCTCCCTGACTCTGGACCAAGCGGGTGTTCTGGGCACTGGCAACCACCATGATGGCCGCCATCTTGTGTCCAGGGGGTTCAAAAAATTGCTCTATAGTAGAGTGTATGTGTAGAAAAATTGTATGCGCTACGCAGTGTTGCCAACTTAGCGACTTTGTCGCTAGATTTAGCGACTTTTCAGACCCCTATAGCGACTTTTTTTCAAAAAAGCGACTAGCGACAAATCTAGCGACTTTTTCTGGTGTTATTGGCGACTTATCTGGTGTTTTGGCGACTTATCTGGTGTTTTGGAGACTCGTGAAGCACGTATTGTTCTGCAGTCTCACAGTAGCCTTGCGCAGCAGTCCCAGCTACAGTCTATGGGCGGAGCAGAGAGAGAGAGAGAGGAGACTCAAAAGCACAGGAAGTTTTCAGGCTGCTGCAGACTGAACTTCAGCTCCACCACCACCACACATCCAAAGCTCCCCGGCCACTCCTACCACCGCCACCCCCCACTACCCCCCACTCCATCCGCGGCAGCTCTGTCCGTGACTCTGTTTTCTCTCAGTAGTGGGTCACATTAAATCATTTGTTATGCCAAACTATGAAAAAAAAAAAAAAACTTACAAAAATAAACTTAATAACTCTGCCAGAGTGTGTCTTTTGGGTCACTTTGCCGGTCCCAAGCCCGGATAAAGGAGGAGGGTTGGTTGTAGAGCTAGAAATTTCACCCTACATAACAATCTTTTGATTACATTTGCTGTTATAACATTTAACAATACAGGACAAAACTGATGTGTGTAATGTGGATCTAGACAAAGCATTAAAATCATTAAATGTTGTTAATGTTGAAATTATTTTTGTACATTTGTAGTTCTAAACATATTTAGGGTGTTTTTACTCACTTTTGTCTCTCCCACGACCTTATTCCTCTCTCCTACAGCGTCCGTTACAGTTATTTGCAAATGGCAAATTATGCAAATTAGGCGATGACGTCATTTAGCGACTTCTAGCGACTTTTGGGACAGCCAATAGCTACTTTCCTTACTGAGGAGTTGGCAACACTGGCGCTACGTTTCGACAGCTTCTTGTGTCTTCTTCAGGCGAGTTCTACACTGACTGGAGGCACTCTGTTCGGTGTCCTCTTTTATATGGTGTACAGGCTCCGCCCCCCCACTCTTGTTGTGTAACCAATGAACTAATTTAGTTTCCAATTTATGTCTTCCTGTGACTGGTTAAGTTTAGGGCTGTTCCCCTCTATGGTTAAGGTTAGGGCCAGGAGCTAGGCTAGACTTTAGCTCTACTCTACTATGGCCACAATCTTGACAGTAGTCCAAGTGCGCATTTTGGCTGCTTGTTTCCTGCACAACATGAAGATCAATTGCGACTTGCATATTGTCTCCACGTTTACAAGATTGTATACTAGAATTGAACAAATTTAGTTTCAATTGGGTTCTTCCCTGATGCTAATGCTAGTGCCTTGAGTTAAGGTCATGGTGTCCAGAGACTGGGCGAGGCACTGGCCAGTAATTAGTATACAAAGTCATTGTCCCCCGAAGGGTACAACAAAATGCACGGGCCCTCTCCCTGACTCTGGACCAAGCGGGTGTTCTGGGCACTGGCAACCACCATGATGGCCGCCATCTTGTGTCCAGGGGGTTCAAAAAATTGCTCTATAGTAGAGTGTATGTGTAGAAAAATTGTATGCGCTACGTTTCGACAGCTTCTTGTGTCTTCTTCAGGCGAGTTCTACACTGACTGGAGGCACTCTGTTCGGTGTCCTCTTTTATATGGTGTACAGGCTCCGCCCCCCCACTCTTGTTGTGTAACCAATGAACTAATTTAGTTTCCAATTTATGTCTTCCTGTGACTGGTTAAGTTTAGGGCTGTTCCCCTCTATGGTTAAGGTTAGGGCCAGGAGCTAGGCTAGACTTTAGCTCTACTCTACTATGGCCACAATCTTGACAGTAGTCCAAGTGCGCATTTTGGCTGCTTGTTTCCTGCACAACATGAAGATCAATTGCGACTTGCATATTGTCTCCACGTTTACAAGATTGTATACTAGAATTGAACAAATTTAGTTTCAATTGGGTTCTTCCCTGATGCTAATGCTAGTGCCTTGAGTTAAGGTCATGGTGTCCAGAGACTGGGCGAGGCACTGGCCAGTAATTAGTATACAAAGTCATTGTCCCCCGAAGGGTACAACAAAATGCACGGGCCCTCTCCCTGACTCTGGACCAAGCGGGTGTTCTGGGCACTGGCAACCACCATGATGGCCGCCATCTTGTGTCCAGGGGGTTCAAAAAATTGCTCTATAGTAGAGTGTATGTGTAGAAAAATTGTATGCGCTACGCAGTGTTGCCAACTTAGCGACTTTGTCGCTAGATTTAGCGACTTTTCAGACCCCTATAGCGACTTTTTTTCAAAAAAGCGACTAGCGACAAATCTAGCGACTTTTTCTGGTGTTATTGGCGACTTATCTGGTGTTTTGGCGACTTATCTGGTGTTTTGGAGACTCGTGAAGCACGTATTGTTCTGCAGTCTCACAGTAGCCTTGCGCAGCAGTCCCAGCTACAGTCTATGGGCGGAGCAGAGAGAGAGAGAGAGGAGACTCAAAAGCACAGGAAGTTTTCAGGCTGCTGCAGACTGAACTTCAGCTCCACCACCACCACACATCCAAAGCTCCCCGGCCACTCCTACCACCGCCACCCCCCACTACCCCCCACTCCATCCGCGGCAGCTCTGTCCGTGACTCTGTTTTCTCTCAGTAGTGGGTCCCACATTAAATCATTTGTTATGCCAAACTATGAAAAAAAAAAAAAAACTTACAAAAATAAACTTAAGTAACTCTGCCAGAGTGTGTCTTTTGGGTCACTTTGCCGGTCCCAAGCCCGGATAAAGGAGGAGGGTTGGTTGTAGAGCTAGAAATTTCACCCTACATAACAATCTTTTGATTACATTTGCTGTTATAACATTTAACAATACAGGACAAAACTGATGTGTGTAATGTGGATCTAGACAAAGCATTAAAATCATTAAATGTTGTTAATGTTGAAATTATTTTTGTACATTTGTAGTTCTAAACATATTTAGGGTGTTTTTACTCACTTTTGTCTCTCCCACGACCTTATTCCTCTCTCCTACAGCGTCCGTTACAGTTATTTTGGCAAATTTGCAAATGGCAATTTAGCGACTTCTAGCGACTTTTGGGACAGCCAATAGCTACTTTCCTTACTGAGGAGTTGGCAACACTGCAGTTGTTGGAACGGTTGCCGGCGCGCGGTGAATCTGTTTAGCGTTACGGTTTTTCTTTTCTTTTTGTTTTTCTTGTTGTATTTTCCCATCTATTTGTGCACTGACTTTTGTTTCCCCGGGTTGGACACTTGGGTATATGGGGAGGTCTAGGGGGGGGGGCTCCCATGGAGGGGGGAGCTCTCAGGAAGGGGGGAAAAGGGACAGACCCAGATCAAATAGTGGTGGAGGGGAGGAAGATCGGGCACTGGCCAAAATGGCTAGAACAGAAGAGGAAGAGTATAAAGTTATCATCAAGTTTAAGCACGAGTCTGACAGGGCCCCTAACCCTCTGAAACTTTCCTCAGCAATCCGAGATAAGATAGGCGAGATATTGAATGCAAAAGTCCTTTCGAATGGGAATGTGTTGGTGTTTTTGTAGATCCGAGGCACAGAGAAAGAAAGCTCTGGCCTTGAAGCACTTGGCTGACAGGGCTGTTGAGAGTTATATTCCTGGGCCTAGCCAGAGTCATGGAATACAGGGTGTAATATATGGTGTAGATACTGATATCACAGAGGAAGAGCTTATAGAAAACATTTGTGGAGCTGAAGTGAGTGGGGTGAGGAGGTTTAAAACTATGAGGGAAGGTGAGAGAAGCGACAGCACTGCTGTATTACTGACGTTTAAAGATGAGTTTCTGCCTCAAAAGGTAAGCTTAGGATATTTGGTATATCCAGTTAAACCGTATGTGCGGCCACCTTTACGTTGCTATAAGTGCCAGCGGTTTGGTCACATTGCTGCAGTGTGCAGGGGTCGAGGAGGTGCGGAAAGTGCGCAGGAGACCACGATCGCTCTGAATGCACAAGTTCTGAGGTGAAATGTTGTAACTGTGGTGGCAATCACATGGCCGCCTTTCGTGGGTGTGAACATGGGGTAAGAGCTCAAAGAGTTGAGGAGATCAGGTTGAAAGAGAATGTCACTTATGCAGAGGCAGTAAAGAGGGTGAGCCAGCCGTGTGGGGCAGAGCAGAGGCGCCCTCCGGTGGCCGCTCACACCCAAATACCGGAAAATTCATTAATTGTGGACAAAACGTCTTTCTTTGCGTTCTTGGTTGAAGTACTGTGGGCAGCCAAGCAAGTGAACACTCCCTCGGCTATTAAGGCCATGATAGCCAAGGAGGCAGGGAGATTTTTGGATTTGTCTGTTTCCCCAGAGCATCTTAATTTGAATAGTGTGCGCAGTTCACAAAGTGCGTCAGTAGAGGACGAAGAAGGAGATCCACTTCGGCCTGGCATCAGATAACTGAATGTTTCACATCCTCCAGTGGAATGCCCGTAGCCTTATTGCAAATGGCCAAGAGTTTAAACGATGTGTAGGACAGCTGAAAGAGGGAAAGC